CGGGGGCGCGCGCGGAGGGTGCGGGTGGGGGAGGATGGTAATGAGCAGCGGGAGCGGCTGCCCCAAAAACCAACCCCGCACCGGCCGGGGGGAAACGGGGCTCGGGTAAAAAACAGGCACCGACAGCCCAAGGGTCGTTGAGACTCACGGAACTGCCAAGATGGGGGGGTTCGTGCTCTGCAGGGGCGGGCACAGGGGGCACCGAGCGTCAGGACACCCTGTCCTCCTTGTGACTGCAAAATTCCACACTGCTACACACAGGTTCGGGCTGTTCTGGGCTTTGAAATCACTGCAAAAGGCAAAAATAATGGATTAAACATTCCTGCAATGTCTTGAAGTAGTGAGCAAGAGCTGCTCGGAGAACACATTTGAATAGCAGTCCCAATGATTAGAAAGAGCCCGTTGTGTGTAAAACAGGTGAGCATCTACTACCAGCAGTCTGGACCTCCTCCTATTTATTTGTTTTTCAAAAAATAAAAAATAAAAAATAATAGACTCCTTTGGGAAAAAAACAAAAACAAAAACCATTGAAACTCCTTTCTGGCTATTTGGTCACGTTCTAAGCCTAAAACCTGTCGGCATCAGTCAAAAAAAACAGATCCTTTTGTACAGACAAGCAGCTGTAACACGTTATCAAAGCTATTAATAATGCTTGTATCAAATCCAATCCGATTTTATTCGCATATGCTTCCTTGAGGGCACCTATGAAGCTCTTGGCGTTTTAAAATTGACTTTATCAGGTGTCAGGCACCCGAAGTTTTTTGCCCCTTCCTTGAAGCATGGGAATTGTAGTCTTCGCCCTTAGTGCTTAATTTCTTCGTGAACTACACTTCCCAGCAAGCCCCTCCCGGCAGCCCAGCCCTTTCCTCCCGCGGTCGCGCAGGGCAGCACGATGAGAGGTAAGTTTTCAGGCATTATTCACCGTTTCACTCTTATTTCATGAGATGTGCTGGGTTCGGCCGCTCTGCCACCACCCCCGCCCTCCCCCTTCCCCCGGCATTATTACAGCAGAAGAGATTCGGATGACGTGCATGTCCCTCTGGATTTCTGGCCTGTAACCATTTGCAGAATCCTGTTTCTCTTCCACCTTGAACCTGTCTGATCTCTTTCGGAGGGGCATCTTGGCTGGTTAAAAACAATCTCTAGCCTTGGATCTCGATGGGTACGTTTAAGGAGTTTCACTTATGTATAGTAGTTGCTATTTTTTAATCTGAGCACTTTGAATTTTTAAAGCAGCTTTGCGTGTCACAGGAAATACTCTCCTACACTGTCCTATGATTCACAGCAGCTCTCAAATGAATCTTACTTTTGCTGCTGAGCCTGCCATTCCTCCCCTGTCTTGTGGGCCAACCCATATTATATCTCCATCACATTGCCCCTCAACATTTCCTTCTGAGGGAACTTTGGATGGTAAGGGACAGGAATGGAGAATTCATCAGTTAAAGCAATTTAAACACTGTCAAACTGACTTAACAGCCTTTGGAGAGCATCATGACTAACGTTTTTCTCCAAACAAGTTACACTTTATTGGGAGGCTTTGTCCCTTCTAATTAATTAATATGGAAAATTAAACCCCTTCAGAAGGAAGGCCCAACAAAACTGCTGCTACACAACAAAACAAAGCAAAAAGAATTGTTAACAGAATCTACTGTTTAGATTCTAAAATAATACAGGAGGACAGAGGAAGTCTAGTTTTCCCTGTAATTCAACTGATGATGAAGCAAAGCCTTGAGACCTGGAGTAATTAAAGTTCTTCATCATCCAGACCTCATACCAGCCCCCTTGCTAAGGGAGATGGTGGGAAGGAGAAATACCAAACAGTCTCTTCTTGGTACTGTTTCTTTCATAACTTTTTGTACTTTGCATGCAAAACCATAGAGAGACCCAGAAAAAAAATAGTTTTAAAATATTGAAATGGAGAAAGAACTACAGACTGCTAGAAAGACCAAACAAAATCAAGGTCCAAATTAATCCACTCCTGTCACAACAGGTCCTGGCCACAATTCCAGGCTACGTCTTAGCAAAGCTATCCTGCCTGTCCCCAGCAGTGCACGTTCCTTCCCTAAAGCAGGATATGCCTCCCGTTCCTACATTCCAGGCAGCTGTTCCTGCCCCATACACCTTTGGGTGATCCCTTCTCTCTCAGCCCCCTCTTCCCCTCCACCTCCTACTGACTCTGGGGAGGTGGCACCCCCAAAGAAGGAGGTGCCAATGGCAGTCAGGCAGTGTCCTAACCACCTTCAGTCCCATTTCAAGGCCTGTTCTGTACAAGGCCTTTATAAAAAAACAGGAGTAACTCCAGTCAAGGCCTTTGTCCTGGAAGAGCGATATTTCAAGGTTGTTTTTCTCTCCGTCCCCACAATGTGTGCAAAGAATAGGGCAGATAGAAAGGACTGATTTGGAGCAGGCAGAACTTTAAAGAAAGCAGAGCAAGGATCTCCTCTGGGGAGGAACCAGACAGCAGCTGAACAGTATCTTGCCAGAGGAATGCCTGGCCTCCCTGCCAGTTCTTCCCTGCCTCGTTGCACGTACCTGCAAAATACTCTGCATGCTCAGGTCTTTCAGGGCTCTTTGCAAGTCCTCTTAGGCAGCTGTCCTTCACACCAAGAGAGAAGGGCAAGACTCTTGCAAGTCAGGGATAGTAACTTTGTCCTCATACACTCAGCAGTCCTCAGTGTTACCCTCTGTCATAGGGACACACAAACACTGTCCTCAGACAGTGGGCTTTAGTTAACATCTCCAAAATAGTTTGTGTTTCTTTACTAAAAAGAAAAAAGATCAAAGAATACTTACCATCACTTTCCAGATAATCCCAAGAAAACAATATTAGAGACATGCTCTTTCCTTTCTTTTACCTGTTTTGTGTTCTGTTCTTGGTTTTAGTTGAACATGTTCTCTGCCAGGAAGTTGTCCAGAGTCTGCAGAGCCATCAGATTCCATCATTTCAGATCCCATTCTGTATCCAGGACCTTTTCAAACTTGGCTTTCGTGCCAGCCTGTCTTCCCCCAGATCCTGTGGAAGTAGAGAAGCTGCAATGCTTTGTTTCCAACTCCAAGAGGCTGTTTGTGATGACTGGAGCTGGCATCTCGACTGAATCGGGGATCCCGGATTACCGCTCGGAAGGTGTGGGGCTCTATGCCCGGACAGACAGACGGCCCGTCCAGCATGCCGAGTTCGTGCGTAGTGCCAGTGCCCGGCAGAGGTACTGGGCAAGGAACTTTGTGGGCTGGCCCCAGTTCTCCTCCCACCAACCCAACACAGCACACCTGGTACTAAGAGACTGGGAGAAGCTGGGGAAGCTGCACTGGCTGGTGACCCAGAATGTGGACGCCCTTCACAGCAAAGCCGGGAGCCAGCGCATGACAGAGCTGCACGGCTGCACACACAGGTACCCTCGGTGGCAGGGGGAGGACAGGTCCTCCAATGGTCTCTCTTCAGGGTGACTGACAAGCAGATGCCCTGCTGGCTGCTGAGAAAGGAGCCAAAATTTCAATGCTATTGGAGATGACATGCTCAAAGGTGTTGCTGGGCTTGGGTGGAGAAAAAGATCACAAAATAGTGCTGTTAGTGACACAGTATTTAACAAACATGAACACCACTCCATTACTTGGAGCACCATTTGGATCACTTCCCATGGAGCCTACATCAGTCAGAATTTCCCCTTGCCTTGCTACAGAAAATATCCTCCTAATGAAGAGGACAAGGGGATCCTGGACTGGAGAGGGGCCACCACAGCCTGGCTGAGGTCACACAAATTTTCCAGAGGAAAAACTGGGAGAGAGAATGTGTGGTAGAGTTAAAGGTGCTTCCTCTAAAGCATTCATACAAAGCAACTATTGGAGGTAGAAAGACAGCTCCTTAACCTGTATGATTTGTTAAATAAGTGTGGATAATGACAACAGACATTCCAGGCCTCCTAAGGAACAATTTAAAGACTACAGCTCTTCAGCTGACACGAAACTCTTCATTGAGACTTTGCTCCTAATTTCAGGGTTTTCTGCCTGGCCTGTGGAGACCAAATCTTGCGCTCTGAGCTTCAGGAGCACTTTGAAGCTCTGAATCCTACCTGGAAAGCTGAAGCATTTGGTGTGGCTCCGGATGGGGATGTCTTCCTGACAGATGAGCAGGTGCGTAACTTCCAAGTCCCAGCCTGCCAGAAATGTGGTGGAATCCTGAAGCCTGACGTGACCTTCTTTGGAGATACAGTGAGCCGGGATAAAGTGGATTTTGTGCACCAGCGCCTGGCAGAATCAGATTCCATGCTGGTGGCAGGATCCTCTATGCAGGCAAGTAGGTCTTCCTCCCACACTGCATTCCGATTTCTGCGCTACTCTGCCTGCAACAATCCTGGGTCCCACAGTTTAGGGCTACTAATTGCTTGTGGATCACGACGGCCTCTCCAGAGCTTCTTTGTATTTTATTTTTACTCTGGTTGGAATCTGGCTTCACAGTTGGTTTGTTTGGGCTCCCCTGTCACTCTCTTGTCTGTCTAGTCATGCTGCTATAAATAACTCCATTCACATGTTTGGACCTCTCTCTGCTGCCTCCTCATCACTACATGGTAGGTTCACAACTGGCCGTAAGGCCAAAATACCTGATACAATTCAGTCCCACAGAGATCACCACTCCACTTTTTTTTTTTTTCTTCAATGTTTTAGCCTTTGGCAGCTTTCTAGGCCTTATGGCACACTGTATGAAATACCACATCTTAGGATCTCTAATTCCTAATGAAATTCCCAAGAAGATAACAAAAATATCTCTGTTTGCTGCTTAGGATTGTCCTTTGTACCACATTATGTTTTCTCCCATAGTCTCTTATCTATAAGGTAAGGTAGTTTAGAAAACTGTTGTTTAGTCCATGGAAGCTTTTAGAATAGAGCATGTACAACAGAAATTTTTCCAGGAACATCAAAATTAACTATTCTAACATCCAGAAAGAGATAAAACCAAGGCTGCCTGATTGTGATTCTCTTGGCTTCTGGGTACTGAAGATAAATTCCTTCAGCTTGCACTTCCGAAGCTTATAATCCTTTGTACAGGAATGATTGAAATGCCTTCTGTTCATTCGTGTTCCACCTAAGCTGGGTCATGTGAGAAACCTCAAAGTAGAAGTGTTTAAGTAACTATGATAACTAATAAAAACAGCTGCTGAGATCTACTAAAAGATAAGGGCATTTCCCTTCAAGGTACTATGAAGTTTCAGTTTCTATGAAACTGCAAATCCTTCACCAACAGAGGTTAAAGCTGTTCTTTTCCATGCACTCTGAATTAAGACATTTCCTACCTGAATTAAGTGCAGTTGCCTGACACAGTGTGGACCTACATTCCCTTTTCCTACTGCCCACAGCAACTATTTTACTTCTCTTTCTCCTGTCTCTTCCCTTACTCTTCTTTTCCTTAAGCTGCCAGTAACTTTGTCCTCTGGTATTCCTACAGGTGTACTCTGGTTACAGGTTTGCTCTTGCTGCTCGGGAGAAGAAGCTGCCCATTGCAGTCCTTAACATTGGGCCCACAAGGTTGGATCACTTTGCATCCTTAAAACTGAATTCCCGCTGTGGGGAGCTGCTGCCTTTGATTGTTGTACATGACTCAACAAGCTGAGCTTTAGTAGCTATCAGGAGTAAAATTATTTCTTCAAGGTGAGTACCTTCCCTGGTCAGTCACCTCACAGGGTAAGAAGATGGGTTCCCATCAGATGGGATTGACTAAAAGTACGTTCCCACAGCATGCACCAAATCAGTGGCTGTAAATGTTCATCTGCAACTGGTATGCTCTGATGGGCCACGGGACTGTTTGCCATGATCATAAACAAAAAGCATGCAAGTGCTAACACTCCCAGAAAATTGGGCTAGAGCAGCCATAAGATTCAGTAGTGTTGGGTTCCAGTCCATTTGTCACTATCAGGAAACTGCAGGAGATGACCTGCACATTCAGAGAACCTGATAAACATGGTTGCTTTTGCAACTGACAATTCAAAAGCTGTGCCTGATTGAATTGATCCATCCTCATCAAAACACTGCTGGTTAAAAGAAGCAATTCCATCTGTAAAGCAGCTTCTTCACTCCACTCCTGCAGGACTCATCCTCTCAAATGGGTCAAACGTCAATTTAGAGGCAGCTCTGAGATCCGATGCATGGTCCCTAATGATACCAGGAGAGGGCAGCAAGCCTCGCACATGTCAACCTGACCAGTTTTCTCCACTGAAATCCTTCTCCGCTTACCAGGAGTCAGGATGATGATGAAAAAAGTACTTTTCTGCCTTACCTTGCCATTGTTAACGGTGCCTTCTCTTTTCTTTCACTGGGGCAGGATTACTGGGCTGCCGCACCTAAGAACAGAGTACCTTTCTTCTAAGTGTCCCTAGAGAAGAAGGGAGGACTGAGTAACCTGACACTAGCACAGGAGGAGGATGTGGAAAACCACAGGATCTGCTGGAGAATCCAGTGCCAATACCACACTCAGGCAACTGAGTGTGAAAAGAGGAAAAGAAGGCACAAGGAGCTGCAGTTGTAATTTAAGGAAAAAAAAAAAAGGTTCAAAATAGAAACTGAACTGTTCTTGTAAGAGATCACTGGAAAGCACAGACTGTAAGGCTGACGTCTTCTAGCAAGGGGGAGAAGTCAGCATTTCTCTCAAGTGTCATTTGACAAGCTAAACTGCTTACTATCTGAACCCTTTAAAAATTATATATTGTTGAGATGCCAGAGGAGTTACTTTATGCTAATCTGGCCAGCACTGCTGTCTGTCTGGCTGCTGTGTTTTCCAGAATGCATTTTTTTGGGAAATGTTATTTAATTAATAAATAGCTAAGAAGTGAATCAAAATTGTTTACAAGCCCAATACTATTTGCATTATAATTTCCTCTCCTTCCTATGATTTAAGTAGGGTCTCAATAACCAGTTTAGATTAATTTTTTTTCATTGCAAAAATGCAGGATGTAATTACTAACAGCTGATTAATTAAGAGAGAAATACAATTAAATCTGTACAATATGTCTCCCTCAGGAGGTAATCTCAAGCTATTAATAGATGTAATTTTCCACACTCCTAACAGAACTCATCACTACTGGGTAGCCATTTTTGTTCATCCTTAGGGTGGTAAAACAAGACATATTCAACTATTTATGGAATTAAAAAAAAGACAGAATCTTCCCCAGACCAGAACACTATTTTTTTTTACCTGATCTTTGCATGAATCTACCACTTCCCTTCTGGCTGCAAGGGAGATTAATTGTTGGGGTCTTCCAAATGCCCCAATCCTACTCTCCACGTAACACGTCCTGTATTAATATTTTGACAAGAGCCATAAGGAGCAGTTGGAAGCAAGGATGGCAGAGTCCTCTGCTCAAAGCTCAAGAAGCAAAGCAAGAACAATCGACCATGTGATGCCAAGTTCTTTTTTGCTCTGTTGTTGATTCAAATCCATGCCAGGCAGGATCCAGAAAAGCACAGAATCTAAGGATACTTAGGCACCCCATTTCTGCTGGAGGTAGAGGGAATTAAGATACTTAAATTGTTTCACATTAAGTATCTTAATATAGCCACTTCTAACATGGCTATAAAGGGTCATAGGAGAGACTGCTTCACTTAGAAGGCAAGCAAGATAAGGTCAGGACCCCTACCTGCATTCTGCTCTCATTTAATGGATCCACTTTCCAGCAAGTCACACATACTGAGACACACATACATTTTTGCTAAAAAAGACCAGAAATGCACTTCACCATCCTACCTCTTTATCATCCTAATACCCTAAAAGATCCAGTGACCTTCAATAGGAAGGCATTTCAAGTACCTTCAAATAAGATACCACGCCAGCTGCTTCCTTCTCCATCTGTTCCTGCATTCTCAAACCCCTCTTGCAAATCCTTGGGTTCTGCTCCGTATTTAAGTAGAGTTCATGCAAGCATTGCTGAGTGTAGGACAAAGACTGCTCCTCAAAATCCCTGAAGAAATTCAGCTTGCAAAATTATGTACTGAGGGGGATATTAATTGTCAAACTCATCCAAGATCCCCATGCTACACCCGATCATGCAGGCTCTCCTCCAGCTAGGAGGAACCTGTTTCCTGGTGATGAAGTGGGGCCTTCCTCCTGCCCTGCCAGCAGCCCCTGACACAGGAGCTCCCCGACACCTCCTGAGAGCCTCTGCCAGGAAAACAACTTCTGTAACGTGACAGCAGCAAGTCCGGGTGGGAGCTCTGGGGCAGGGTCTTGTCAGGACAGGAAAGCTGGGGCAGACACTGTCCTTCAGAAGGGCTCCCTGCCCTCCCTGACTCGCAGACCAACATGACCTCTTCCCCTACAGCTCCTGACCAGGAACAGCACTGAGCAGGAGGCAGCCTCCTAGGCCTTCAAACAGGCCTCTCAGAGCGCTTCACAGGCAAACGGCTCAAGCCCCTCACGCCCTCAGATACGCACTCACGAGAGGGGCAGC